CATCAGTGGTAAGAAACGAAAAATCCCAGTTTAAGTGAGATCTCTCTCCCCCCCTTTCCCTTCCCTTCCCTTCCCCGGCCCCCATGACCTTCCACCCTCTTCTGCACAGTTCCCATCATTCTAACCAACCCCCTCCCCTCAGTCCATTACTGCACCGCAAACAAAGAACSACAAACCRATTCATTTGCCTTKTTAACCTTCCACGGGCAGTACGACACCTGATGGGAAACCAAGTCTGCAATACAGACAAGCAATCCACACAACAATTAGGCTGATCTGCTGTACAACGGGCAAAGAAAAAAAAATAAAAAAAAGGCCAAATGTTTTCCTTTTTTTTATCTTTTTCTCAATTCTCGCTCATCTCTAAGCCTTTCTCGACACATCGGTTGATCGCTTTGTCATCCGAGCCTTCCACAAGTCTTGGGTCCCAGCGTGCCCTCGCAACAACCAGATGCCGCCACCCCCCCCCCGATCCCCCCACACCAGGGGTTTCAAATAAGGATGTCCTCCCCACTCCCACCACCTTTAAAAGGGCTTGCTATTTCCCACTAGGATGCCCTCCTTTGTGACGACCAAACGCCTACCGTCTTCACCGGAATAGAACGCCCGGTCATTATTGCTGTAGGTAGACTGAAAGTGGAACCAAATACGGCTATAACGACCGGGGATTCGATTCGGGTGAAGATGGTAGGAATCATTGGCAGATACGGTCCACGCAAAAACCTTTTTTTCTTTTGTTTTATTCCACCCAGAACGGGCCCACTGGCATTGCAGGACGTCCGATGTTAAGATCTGGCGGTCAGGATTCCGTCCCGCCCACACTCAGCCTCTTTCTACCGGATTATGAACCTGGCGCTTTTGAACCCGGGGAGCTCCAAAACCAAACCAGGGACTGTTGGCGTCTCTACCAGCTTGCACCCTCCTCCTCCCAACCGACGCCGGATAGCAGCCATGAATAGGATTTTGCTGGTCAAACACAATCTTCTTGCTAAGAACGGTTTCACAGGCGATGCTCCTCCACCCTCTCGTCTCGAGAAATGGCATCTAAAAAAAAAACGACGAAGCGGATCATGAATGAACGGAGCAAGACGCTGGGTGTACACAATAGGGGGAAGCCCTTCACCCAGGATAGAGTGTTTTTTGCACACGTTTTCTCGAGAACCCTGGGCAGGAAATATAAGATGGGTCACCCTTCCGAGTTCCAGGGCTGCCACCAAGATCAGCTAAGGGGGGTGCAAAGAGGTGTTTGGGGCATCTCAGACCAGACATATATCCGAGGCTCGGACGAGTCCATTTCTGGCTCTCTGCAGAAATTCTGTGCAAGAAAGAAGTAATCGGCCGGCCTGCGTAAGAACAGGTAGCACAGACAGTGCATGCAGTTCCAGCCATACCCAGAGAGAGGGTGGCACTTCTCCCAAGCAACCTCAACCGCTGGGTCCAGCCTCAACCCATCCGGCGAACCAAGGGGGTCATGGATCCCTCTAACGTCTCATCTCCAGAATAGAACGAACTGTCATTATAGCTGCATATCTTGCAACTTCCAGTCTAGATACAGTGACAATGACCACGCCTCCCACTTCGGGGAAAAACGGTAGCAAGTACAGGTAACTAATTCCGCAGCCACGGGGCTTGCAAATAAATGGAGGCCGCGCTTTCCCAGTGGCCTGTGTGTGGCCGGTTCAAGTCAGTACTCAGGGGGGGAAATTTTACCCATACATTTCCTAAAATCGTGGCTTGTTAACGGACACTACTGTAGTGACCCCTACATTTCCTAAAATTGTGGCTTGTTAAACGTTTCTAGTCGGATGAATTTGGGCGTTCCTGTAGTGACCCGTACATTTCCTAAAATTGTGGCTTGTTAGCGGGCACTCCTGTAGTGACCCCTACATTTCCTAAAACCGTGGCTTGTTATCTAATTGTGGCTTGTTAACGGCCATGACTTTAGGAAGTACTGGTGGTTTCACGCTGGCCTCGTCGGACGAATTTGGGCGTTCCTGTAGTGACCCGTACATTTCCTAAAATTGTGGCTTGTTAACGGGCACTCCTGTCGTGACCCCTACATTTCCTAAAATTGTGACCCCTACATTTCCTACAATTGTGGCTTGTTATCTAAAATTGTGG